ACATCATGAATTAATTGAAAATAAAATAGATATTTTGTGATATCCCAATATTTTTTTATTTACCCTGGTGGATGAAATATATTGACATCAGTGATACCACTTGTTTAAAACTAATCAATTGTTTAAAGACTCAATACACATGAAAACATACATTTATATTGTTATTTGTTATTTACTACTGCTTCATATTAACTAAATTTCATTTTAGTTAATCATTAACTTTAAACTGTGGCTTTTGCAGCATTTGCTCAATAAAAATGAAAAAAAACTACTACAGAGCTGTGTGTTTTACGTATCGAGACAATCATTTCCCATGCGTGTTATTGCGTTGAATTGTAGTATTTCATGAAAACGAATAATTGCTGTGCTTCAAGTAGTAATGCGTTTAGTTCACGATAAATCACTCAGTGTTTCAAACAGGAGTATTGTCAATTACATTTTCTCATTTATATTACATCCCTAACAACATTTTTAAATATATAAACCTTGCTCCAGTAATAAATAAACTTATCAGCACCATTGCTCAAGTGATATGTGTAATCTAGTAGCAATGACTTTCCGTTTTCGACATTGTAAAATTCTTTCGTTTTTATGGAGAAACATACAGTATTTTACCAAGTGAAGTTATTGCTCATGCCTGAGTTTTTAATTTCCTGTAGCTTCTTTCAGTCGTAATAAAAGACAAATAAAATGCAAAAATATAGAAAATATATATTTGTTTCTGTAATATTCTTGTGTGATCGGTAATTATGAAAATTATCATTGGTGTTCATGTTCACATGAAATACAATTTATTCTTAATATGATTCTGATGTTTTTTGTCAAAATCTTTTATTTTAAGTTTTTTTCCCCAAAACCAAAAAATATCATAATGTCACACTTTATAGTAGTGTTTCTAACTGATCAATATTATCCCCCACTACACTATAGATCACATATTGGTCAGTTCCGTTTTACACATGTAATATGGTGGCCATCTTGTTTTCTTGTTGATAATTCTCGGTGCAGCGTGACGGTGATGACGCATATTTCACTTCCTGTAACATAGCACATTTAATGACTTTATCAGATTGCAAAGTGTAAATGACGATACAAATTACAAATTGTGCGCTAAACGCCACATTCCTGAAAACGATACCCGGCCTCATGTTACATCTGCCGACTCACTCACGCCGCAAATAGTCACGGACGATGCGTCTTAATTAAGGCTTGATTTCTCAGCCGAAGTCATGTTTGACACCCATTCAGACGTGTTGACCTTTGACCTACCCTCCGTCCATATATGGAAGACAGTGGGTAAATGGACACTGGTTGCAGAGATTACACGTGATATAAAGAATTACAGAAATGCAATTGTACGTGTCCGTAACAAAAATTAGTATCTTTTTGTTGCGGGGAAAATAAATTGGGTGTATATAACAGAGCAATGCAATAGTAGCAATGTGTCAGATATAAACCCAGCGAAAATGGACGTAGAGGCGGATATATGTTACGAATAGATGTACCCAGTAACAATATAGTCATATATTTACCCATGATGCTTTTGGGTGGAAAGGACTGATTGTACATAAACTAATTGAAAATGCGATAAATATTAATATAATAAATAACAGTACTCTAAATGCAATGAATGCTACTAATAATAAAAATGTTTAGATAATAAATTCTTTTTTGGACATATGTGTCTTGAGTTTCAGTTTGACATTTCTGATACTCGTACAGCTGCAGAAAACGCCCCATCATCGTATTTTCGACAACAACGGCTGATTGGAGGTGATGTGAAGTACTGGCAAGTCCCAATATCAAAACATTTTTTTAACCGATTGTAAAATATCAATATCGACAGTGTCGAATAAAGCCCTCACTTGCAGATCTAAAAGAACTAGAGATTTTGCGGTCATTCAGTCAGCTATAAATGATTAATCATGAAACAAGAATAGTTTTAGTACTATGGCATCACTTATAAGCAGATTGGAGTATAGTATCAAGATAATTAATTGATTGATTTGTAATTGATTTGTTATTGCCATTTCGATTAGACAAGTTTGGAAACTAGGACATAGGGCAATAGTTTTTGAACATCAATTCAGCACCAGGTATTTCGCTGGCAACATCTTGTAAAAAATGTCGTTGACAATACATGTGATACTGGCAACCACATCTTCTCGAAGATATACTAATATTTGGTCTAAATTACATGACGTAATGGGCAATGTCTTTATGATGGCTATTCTATCATCAGTTCCTTTTATGATGCGAACAATTTTCAATAATATGAAAAATATGTTGTTTGGTTACCATTATTGTCATGAATTAATTTACCATAATCTTCTTCATAAATCGCCTTTAATAAATTAATAATATCCCTCTGTTTATTGTTGATACATCCAACAACACAGCGACACGAGCAGCAATCAACGTAACAAAAACTACACGTGTGTTCACTGACAACCGACGATGGACCCGAGACTGAAAAACATCATATTGCTCGACTGCTTTGGCATAATGCTTACAGCATTACGTCATTAAACGTCGGTCACCGGTGCACCGGTGTCATGGTTGATCACTTACCGGACAATAATCACCGGACAATAACCACCGGACAATAATTATCTATGACATTTAAGTTAATAATGCCCACTGACAAAACTATCAGTGTCGTCATTATTGACAATCAGTGGTATTTTCTATATTGTTCTATTAGTTAAAAGTTTGCTCATTATCAGCGTTTTCAATAATCAAGAATTGTTCAGCACCTATCAGAAACGACACCAAACACACTAACCAATCATATCCAACAATCTCATTAACCAATCAAATCAATCATCAATCCCTTTGTCGACAACCTCTCAACAAGTTATATATAGGAACAGTTTGGTAATTATTGTTGTCATGGCGATATCAATGTTTCATTAGTTATTATGTTGCAAACTGGTGGTACAAGGCCAATCAGCTGTTACGAATCAATAACTCAAGAAAGACGTTTGGCAACATTTCAAACCTCTCATTTCTTACGCCTTCGGTTTAGGAGACATTGAATATTGTTTCTGCAGTGGAATTGTAATTCTTGTCAAGAAAGCGTGAAGTACATGCCAGATCTAGCGCGCTATGTTGCCATGGTAGCACATACAATAAATAATTTCGATGAACAATTAAAACATCAGATCTAAATTTGACGCTGAAGCTTGTATGTAATGATGTACATCAACGGCCACGCAAATAATTTACTGCATCAAGCGAGGAGTTCACATGAAGGGGTCAGAGGTCGAAATTTATGTCAGGAATGATTCTCATAATGGGGCACCAGTTAATTCGTAACGCATTTGTCTCATATTAGAGTTGTCAGATGCCAAGCACGTAAATCGGTCACAGTAAAAATATAAATATATTTAGAGTACATCTTATAGGAATGTGTTGAAACCTATTCGGTTATACTTTCAAGGTATCAAACCATTAAAGCAGCGAACGTCGCGCAGCACTTTTGAAATTCGCTGGAATACTTTCTTCAAAACCACAATTTTGCCCAAATACTTACATGTTGCAGCAACTGTCACTTTAATGTAAAAACGTTAAAAAAAACACATTATTACTGAAAAATTAGTTTTTATTTAATAAATTGTTTGTACATTATTGTGTGACGTCACGGGTCAATATTTGAGACGGTGTCTTATCTAATAGTGGGTTTTTATTTTAAGTTTAGTTTTGAATTGGCTAGCATCGTGATATGAAGGCGGTTGACATACGAAATCAAGGTGACACCAATTTCCCGTGTTTCATCGTTTAAACTACAGAAGATGTGTTCTATACTATTCGAACATTTAACCAGTTAAATCGGAATAACAACCTTACAAAACTGAAACTGATAATAACCTTCCATGTAACTAACAATACCGGAATATTACCCCCAATACTAAACGATGCGCACTGAGGAATCAAACCCTCGTATAATCGTACAAAGATGTAGGAGTGACGTATAAAGCTGTACACGATTGGACTTTCCTGAGAATGTTGATGAAATACACAAGTACAATTACGTTTATAATATATTAGCATACAAAAGTATTAGTAAATAACAATATAATGCTCGTTGCGTAAAACGTAACGCAACGTAACGCAATACACACATGCGTGTTACAAGTTTTACAGACGTAAAAGCGTGACAATTACATATAACCATAATTAATGCAACGGAATAATTGCACCGCAACGCCACAGGAAACCATGGTAACTTATTTAAATGAAACACACGCTGCCACGTGCAGACTAGACTATCAGAAAATACCGCGAAGCAAATTGAAGTGCTTTACGTCGGATTTTTCAAAATATTTTGAGCGGTTCTCTAAATATTTATTGAGACCGGCGCTCTGTCGAAAAAAATGTCCCTCCTCTCTGATACTGATGTTTGAAAACAAAACTAAAAAAATTACAATTTCAAATTTATTCACGTCAACGACGCCTTTATATTGTGACGTCATGTGGTACTTGTTTATCAAGAGTCTTAACCAATTTTGGCTCAAAATGAATATATATAATGCAAATAAACTACAATTCAGCACAATGCGTCGAACAACACGCAATGGCCGACATGTTACGTTGCAAAACATAATTGCATAAAACAATACAGCGAGTGAGTGGTGACATCACAACAAATAACGGTGACGTCATACCCATGTGATTGCAATAATAACCGGTGACTTGTATAACGAAATTACTGGACTATACATCCACCGGACACAAATTGTCCATGCATTTGCCTGGTGTTGTATTTGAAAAAAACGCAAATCGTCGACAAAACAGCTAACAAACAGATAAGCTGTGACACAGTACTTGGTTCAACTCCCGTTTCCTACAATTTACGCCATCCGTCAAATATGCTTATAACTTGTTCAGCAAGATGAAACAATCACGGACGATTGGTCGTTCAAGAGCAATATTCAAGTTCTTTCTTCTTCAAGTTCACAATCAATGGTTCAAAACGTTCACAAAGATTACATGCGAGTTTAGATCGAATTCTCCTCCGAATCGTGCACTGAATTCGACACGTCCACTCGAGACAAAGGCGATGTTCGCCCCATAGCTATCAGAGAACTGCCGCCGCCATATTTCGATTCCACTTCGTGTAGTCGCCTTGCCGCCATTTCTCTGTCTCTGGCGCCCTTAACGCGCTTCCATTTCATGCGACGGTTTTGGAACCAAACTTTTACCTACAATTTGAGAAGGAAAAAAAAACGCGTTAATCTGCACAGAATGTAACGAATTACTGTGAGGTCAAGCAGCTTCGTCACTCGAAAAACAAGTGGCGCGAAAGTTTTGAATTTCCATGGAAAGGTTATTCATATGGGCGACTCATCTTAGAATCCCGCTATACTGAACCCTGTACCATCACGGGAAAAGGCGCAACCAGAAGTGTAAAACAAGAATTTCTGTCGTTGATCGCGAAAACGTTTTTTTTTTCTTCAAATTTTTGAATGAATCGAGTAGGCCATCTCATACATCTCACGTAACCCCGCGTTATCTTGGTGTATCGGTGTAAAATTATCAATAAAACAGACATGTATAATTCTGAAATACCAACACTAAATCCATTGACGGAGTACGAAACACTGTGAGGCAACTATAAACGCTGTAAACTCATTTGCGTAGTTTTCGTGGTTGTCTAACTTTCATCAACGCAATTCTAAAAACTAAAGCATCGGAATAATGTGTTAAATATAACCCCCGTGATCCAGTCGAATCACGGACATTACTTGTCGTGAGAATGTACGGTACGTACAAAGAACAAAATATTAAACAGAAGTCTGTAAGTGTACAGCACTTGTACAGAATTTGTTTTAACATAGTTATGCTGGGACAAGTTTTGTTGATTTCATCGATTTTCAATACGTTATATTTTGCAGATGTTCAAGTTCAGGCGCATGGCAGGCCCGGATGTTTGTTTCATGCACGGGTGGTCACAGCAAGGAAGATTATGGACTTGTCAAAGAAGAGGTATAAACACGTGCGTAGCTTGTAACATAAGTTTCCATCATGCGCCTAGAACAGAGTCTGGCAATCCCCGCCCTTTGGCCAATACAGTTCGGTATATGAACTCGTATAATCGCGTTTTCGGTGAATAAAACTATTGAAATGGTGACATGTTTGGTTACTGAATGTAGTATAATCTAGTTTCGATGTGATGAGCTAAAAATCACGGGACAACACACATCACTTATTTACATACTGGGTGTAATAGTATGCTTTCTATGTGGACGGGATCATGGTCGTTAATTAATGTTGAAACATATACTGTATAAGAATAAATAATTTATTGTCGAACAATTACGTCAATATTTAGATATGGAAAAGGTTATTTATTTTAAAAATCGCGAAATGCGTTTATTGGATAGGAGTTCAAACACTGTGCGAATGACAGTTAAGCATGACCAGATTCATTAGATTTATATCCGATGGAATACTCGTACAGTGTACGCAACAGTGTTACGAAAAAGGCGTGGTATATCACTTGAAAATGGTTGTGTTAATACATTTCGAAATAAATGTTCACTGTGCATTTGATATTTCCTATTAAAATATCCCCCATCGCCTTAAAACCAAGTATTCAACTATCAGAACTTCTTGGGGGTGGCGTCCAATACGTGAAATAAGCGGTATTACGAATGTCGCTATTGGCTAGCCAGGTGCATCAATGGACCAATGGGAAAGCATAGCTGTTACTGATCGATGTAATATGGAAAAGATATGCTTGACAAAGTTGTTAGATAGTTGAGCATTAAAGACATTGTGCTTTATAGACAGACTGGCTTTCGTTATAGAGCATTGTTTCTTTCCAACATCACAACGTCATTGATAAATTGGTCATATAAATAATTTAACTGAACATGGTACTTTCAACCTTATGTCCAAACGAATTGATTTGTGTCGTATTTTTGTGAACATATGTAGTTAGGACAAACAAATGACTCCCAGAGGATACGGGAGGTATTGCAAATTAAATTTAATATGCAGCATATGAGTGGTTTGGTTTCCATAGCACAGCTTCTGAATAATATCGCGAAGCTCAAACTTCCAACAAAAAATGAAGATGCTGAATCAGTATTAATGAATTCTTAAAATGTATTTATTTGTCCTTGAATTTTTCTATAGTGCATTTTCGCAATAGAAGTCATATTCATGTATTCATGAGATGTGCGGTCATCTTCCTATCGAATGACAATTTTAATGCGCTATCCTGTCACCAAGATTCCCCAAAGTTGTATTCGTTAGTGAATGAATCTCGGCCAGTGGAATTGGTCTTTCCATTTAATCTGTGTCACACACATCAAGGGTAGGGGTAGACCCTTTTTGATGTTCAGCCTAAGGTAGGATTTGAAATTGGGTCTACCGATCATGAGTCTGATGCGACAACCACTATGCTACCAGCGATCATGAGTCTGATGCGACAACCACTATGCTACCAGCGATCATGAGTCTGATATGAAAACCACTATGCGCCCAGTGACCGTTATTTTAATGTTAGATATGTTGTGGAATGTTATTGACACGCGGTGTATCTAGAAAGGACGATGTGTGCCAATTGGATGTTTTTCGTTAACAATTCAGTAAACTCAACGAAACAAATTTGTGTTTACAAGCTCCTTAACGCCGGTTTAGTTTTCTGTGCCAGTTCGGAAAGAATTGTTTTGTTAAATATCAACTGCCGTGATAATGTAGTCGTTTTTCTATAATTCGGTTGGTGCGATGTGATTCCATCATGTCGGCTCGGTAAGTTTGATGTTTGTGAAATTGAAGTCGTAACGGAAGACTGGCTATGTAACATGTCGCCGATTGAAGTTAGTGTTTGTTTCTGTGATAGTCTCCAGTACACAAGTACCGTCGTTTTGTTACGACCCTGGGGATAGCGGAGGTGTAGATTTTCCTACATGCGGGGGTTGCGACTCCGAATAGCTGCCATATATCTACCCATATGAACGTTTATGTATATAATGGAGGGGTGTGTCGCATTGGGTTAGGGAAACTGATCGGATGTAAGGAAATGATTTTCAGATAGTCCAGATACAAAAATAGTTACGTATCGCAATAAATATAGTCTCGTTTATTGTACGTAGTAATTAAATTCATTTCACGATGATCTTCACTTAAGTGACAAACAAGGTTTCTCTGTATTTTCTATAAAACGCGTAATAAGTAGACTAGCTAAACGACAAGAATTCGGTAAAAACCGAGCCAGGAAGAATTGTGTTTGTTTCATCAAGAGAAAGGGTAAAAATGTGCAAGATTATAAAAATCAGCAAAAGGTATCAGTGAAGGGAATGCATGTGTCCATAAATACACAATGTTTTCAATCCAAGCCGAAGACAATTGTCTGCCACCCGCACACCGACCGATGTAACACATGTAATGGCATGGTAAAGGGTTGTAGCAGCGCTGTTCAAACGCCTTCCCATCGTCCAATATTATTGCAATATTGCATTTCCAAGCCCCAAGTCCTTCATCTGGGGTCTCCTTGTTTATCGTGATGGTTCATGTTCTAAATGAATCTTCTTGCGATTAAAGTATCTATACAGAGAATATAAATCGTAAATTCTGACTAGTGGAAACAGATCAGCCATGTTTGAATGTATGATATCTATATTATTCCAACAACAATTTATAAAATACGTTGGAATAATGATTGTTAATGTGTACGAATTTCACGGCTTTCGGTCATCACTGGCATCACAGTCACTCTACTGGTAGAGTGACTGCTGGCATTATACACGAGATTGGGACTCATTCAAAAGTTTAACGTTTGTAAATTTCCATTGTGGTGATTCAAATATAAGCGGTTCATGCTATGACACTAGATGTATCACGTGACAATTAATTGTTATGTAATTAATCAATTGTAATTATGAGAAGCCAGTGTCCATGCAGTAAATTCTTTTATAGTTTTCGTTTCGTTTTCACTTCACGCACCACGTAACTTATGTATATTGCATCGACTACATAGGGCGGTAACCAGAATGCCGTATATCGTATATCGTACGTCCCGTCATCAAACGGCTTCTTTTTTTATATTTTCTTAAGAACTAGACAGTTATTGTTGTCTCCAATCCGAACTCCACCTAAGCCCGTAAGTACCGAAAACCAAAGTGACCGGAGCCATGGAGGGACACAGGTAAACGGTCTACAGTCTCTTGAGTCTCTTACCGCATTACGGATGTGAAACATTTATTCCGTCGATTTTGCGAAATAAAACTGTGTAAATATTTTGACAAAAGTTCCACAGTGCTCGGTAATAAAGGCATGCCCATGCATATTCAGAGGTTTAGGGACGTGGATTATGACCATAAATGACAGACACTGTCAACGTACAGAACAGCTAGAACCCGGCCCGAACAACTGGTAGAGTGGCATAATTGGCCACTACATGTGAGGACGATAGCCGAAATACTAAGTGGTTATTGTTGTTTACATTATAATAAGAAAGGCGTTCTAATTTCAAGTCGGTCGACTTGAACAAACACTATAGGGAAACATAAGTAGGATAGAGAACACTCCGAATGGTGAAAGTAATCCGACACAACCCAATTTGCATTACAAGTAGGTAGACAGACTGGTGCCACACACATACAAACTTACCTGACGCTCGGTGAGGTTCAGCGTGACTGCTATCTCGTATCGACGAAGCCGAGTTAAATAATTATGGTGCGAAAACTCGTTTTCCAGTTCTCGTATCTGTTCCTTCGTAAACGCTGTTCGTTCCTTGCGTGGTTTGTTGTTTAAATCCAGTTTATAACCATCGCCGTCCTCGCTGCCATTATCTGTCGACAACGACAAATAAAGAAACAAATACTTAGTATTCATATTTACCTTGTTGATGATGTTATCATAGGGGTTAAGTTAATTACGTCATAATTCAAAGACAAATAGTAGTATCCACTGATAGGAAATTGTATCAGGTTTTGAAAATATCAAACCATATTTTGTGTAATCAAATTAAATGGCTTTGTTGAACGAAGACATCATCATCATCATCATCATCATCATCATCGTCGCCGTCGTCGAATTTTACTATCAATCGCATATAAATACATTTTATTCAAAACTTTCCTCCATTTGAGCAGCACGTATTAAACATAATATTTGCACAGTAGAATTGTTGAGCAAAATGAGTAACTTTTAGATTTATTCCTTATAATAGTCAAAATAGTGTTATAGATTGAGTCATATTATTTACACATTTCAATAAATACTATATGAGTTTGCTGTATTGTATTGGAACCGCTTCGAGTTTGTCTTAATTGTTGTTGCCTCCTAGTTCCAAAAGACAGAGCTATGCAAGCGAGGCGATGGGGTATATACAACGTCATTCTATGTAATAATAATAAGAATGGCAACGACGACGCGATTAACTAAATGCAGGAACTAAACTAGTATCTAGTGGTGGCGAAGCATGTGCAATAAACAATATTATTCATTTCGAACTAATTTGGGTGTGATAGTTTGCTGCCCAGTGATCTTAAATACTGAACGGTTCCGAGGCAAATGTACAGTATATGTGCATTAAGTCTGTTTACATGAAAGGGGTGAAAGGAACGAGAGTACAGATACCGATGTATAGTAAATAGCTAGGCCAGATAAGAACACATTTCTAGCAATCTCATGGCCACTAAACAGTTACACGCAGCGGGCCAATATTTATACACGAGTTTAATGTGAAATCGGAATGGTTTCCATTCCCCGGGGGAGGTCTTTAAGGGGGGTCATTATTGAATCAGTCGACAGTGTGTTCACTTGCAGACCGTCATCTGGTGCTCTGGAAAACGCTGTGTAATTAATTCGAATTATAATGTAAGATTATCTGTGTAAGTTTCACACTGGGTCGGTGCCTCGTGTTAGACTTGACTGATATCTTTTTACTTTTTTTTTTACATGACACGCGGTTTCGGCAATAGCGATAGTACGAATGGTACATTTGTACAGTTTTTTTAAACTAATGCTAATGACATATTACCTTAGGATGGTAAAAAATCAACCTGGGAAAAATTATTGTTTCATTCACGAAACGCTAAATTTAAAAGCAGCGACGAATTTATATCGATTCTTAACAGGGTTTGCATTCATACTTTGTATTACATGCAAAGAAGAAAATATATTAATATAAAAAAATAATAAAAACAGTTTATTTGGCAATACATCCTGAAAAATGCAAACAAGCAAGTCTGCTCTGAAAGCCATAGCGTCTAATCACCAAATAAAACATAATTTCTATTATAATATTTCTGGATAACATCTCTCATGAACTAAATACAATCCAAAACCCTCATGAGGCTTGCCCGGGTCATATTGAGAAGTTTCCTGGATATCATACAAAGCGGGTATGCAACTTTAAGTTGAATTTTCTGAATAAATTCCCGATGACTGTCTGTTCTAGAGAAGCCGAACACATTTTGAGTTAAGTGTATGAAAAACAGTTATATGTATATACATTTTCAATTCTCAAATAGCAATAAGAATTTCAGGCGGAAAATTACAAAGAGCATGTAAAGATAACCACAAAGTCATTGTTTCTATAGAAACAAGTTCTGATACTCCATCTATTTATTTCCTTTTTGTTGTTTTGATGAAACGCTTCGCTTAGCGAAAACAATTGACAATTTTTGTATCTCCAATATACTCAGCCACTGGGCGTTTTGTACATTTACAACTCAGTTTAATAGATGAAGCCTACAGTATGTATTTCATCTTTCGCAAATCAAGTGCAGTTTTTGATTATAATTCCATACTGGAAACGCCATGCCATTGTGAAATCCAACAGATTGACAAGGTTTTCTTTTATTACATCTCACCCATCAAATCTTGTTTCTATTTTGTTATTTATCGACCAATTTATAAAACATTTGAATGTTATAAAACCCGTGTTTGTAGATGTGTGTTTTGTCAACAAGGTCTTCGATAATTTGCTGTGACAGGTTAGTTTTACATCAGCGTCTAAATGTCGCGTTTGAACCATATTCCGACTTTTAATTTTATTAACTGGTTACTTGTAGTGTAAACGTTGATGATTTCGTTTCCAAGATAGTCTGACTAAAAATTGTTACCATGATGGCTCGGATGTGTCTGAAATGGTTACGGATTAACTCGCGTAATGTTAATAACCATGGTCCGACACGCACCAACACATCGACGCGGCACCATCCCACCAACACGTATGTATCCGGTTGATAAAGATAGGCTTCAGTGATCAGCGAAGTACGGCGGTCAATTTAGGAATGCAATGGTCAATCTTTACCACTTTGCAATTATATACCAGTGGTCAATTTCTACGTTGCAACTGATAAGAGTCCAGAATCCTAAAGAATACCAGATACCAACGGATCGACTGCTTGATGACTATCCTACGCGACACCGTGATACGGTTTGGCGTGGTACGCATAGACTAGCAAATGCCCCCATAACATTATAGCTAAAGAAAAAACAATTTGTGTTCAGTTATATATACTATATTATATCTTGTTATATATGTTCGATATTTTAATTATTGTGAAGCGGTGTTATTTTAATGCAGAAAGTCGAAAGTTTTCGTAGAATGAAGTGACTGTCATATTGTGATTTGTATTAGAATCTAATGTAACGCGAATTTTAGGTCACATTTTATGTTCTTGTTAGCGGTCTGCATCGTGTATGCCTCGGAGAAGGGAATGTTGTAAAACAAGTGATCAAAATATAATCAGCCCACAACATCAACATGGATATTCGAAAGACGAAGTCGAATAGAGGATGAAATGTAGGAGGCTAGGGTGAACGCTATTATTTTTATCATATCCACATTTTTAATATACTACTATTTTTTTAATTAAACAATTATTCATGATTCACACCTGGTTTCTCTCCCCAAAGTTTCAACCCCGTGTACAAGTTAGTGTATAAGTACGTAGCTCGAGATATCGGATCCAAGGTTGTTTATACGCGTAAATTGATTTGAACACTTATTTCCATTCCCTCAAGCCAGTGTATATCGTATTGCTAGCTTTTGTCAAATTGAATTCTCAAGTATTTCAAAATAAACAATTATACTGTTTTTACACTGTATGGAGTATATCGCAAGATTGCACGATTATTACAACATCGAACTTATGATGCGAAGACTTAGATGATAAAATGTTTAAAAAAAAACTATATTCCTATTCCATTATAATCAATTCTATACCATTTTGGTAAAGTCCAAATCTACCACCCAACTTTCTTTATATGTTCATATATATATTTCAACACAGATACGCGTTTTGTGGGAAATTGAAGCCCGAAGACATACGCTATGCTATGTCTTGTTTGTGCCGTGGCTTGAGGGTTACGGCTGTTCATTGACGGGCGCCTAAAAGACCACCACTAATAGTCCAACGGTTTGGCGGATCCGAAATTCTGGCCAATTGGGCAAGACGAAATGATCGGCATCTGGCAATCAAGGCTGCCTGAGTGGAATGAAAGCTCCTGACAGCCGCTAGATTTTCGTCTGTGTGTGTGATCCGACAGAGATTACGTTCCGATGCAACCTACTGAATTGGAGGGTGTTTTGAGCGCCATGAATCCATGGCAGCCATGCTGGCTCCTCTCCGTCCCGGTTGATGATATTAAACACTGCCCATACCTGCTGCATTCGTCAAATTTAACAATATTTGACGCAGGATTCTAGCATAACATAGAGCAGACCTCTCTGCAATCTATAAATAGGAGTATTGGAGCGTAAATTGGTGGGAAAATGGGAACATTGGAACGTTTTATTATTTAGCAACGCCCTTAACGATAATATGTACTGACAGTGTTTTATTCCAGGCTCCTTGCCCAACACTGTCATAGCTCATGAAAGAGGGGGAAATCGTCATTTCCACGCGTCCAGTATACTATACTAGTATTTATTCGCTAACGCGTGCCCATGGAAACCTGTCATCAAATTAATACATCTCGATTTTTGGACTACAGTTTACAAGAGCACGGTATTCCACACTGACCGCAGTCATGTTATGCAAATTATGTGCATTACTCGGGTGTACAGTTTGGTTTATTTCGATTTTCATGGTTATTCGAATCCCGACAACTTGTAGCTAGAACACACCCCTTGTATATACTTAAGGATCGAGTTTTAATCCAGTATTTGATCACGCTGCTTTAGCCCGGGGAAGTCAATTCAAGCAAAGACGGGGACCACCAGTCTGGAAACAGAGGCCAAAAGAATATAGATATTCTTTTTAAAAATTTCGTTTAGTTGATCTATGAGAATACTTGAACCACTTTCATCTGAGGTTGCGACATGTACTTGAACTGTTTTTATACCGTGACTGGGTACGCAGTATCTCCCAAACGTCAATGTACATACTGCATCCTATACATCAAAATATCATTAAATAATAATAACATAGTCTAACTTACCCGAATCGTCTTTTGTTCGATGTCCGTTGTCTTGCTGTGTTGATGCTGTCGGTGTGTGTTTATTCGGGGTCGATCTACAGCAGTTGTCGATACTGTTGTTCGCTGTAATCGCAATAGGTACCGGTCTGTTGACGGCCTCAGCCACGCTTCCTACCGAAGGTTGGTGATAGTCGGCGATAGTGGCATTGCACGGAGAGATGTTACAAGATGGGCTGTAGAGAGTGGCACTGCTCTGTGTCGTTAACGATCCCCTCGGCATACTATGAATAGCCCACTCTGATGGATACTGAGTCCGTGCCTGCTGCGACGTGGTGTACAGCGGCGTAGACATACCCGCTACATGATAACCCATTGTTCTCTAGTTAAGAAAAAAGATAATACAGTCATTAACAGTCTATTTGCCACAGACGGTCCCAATAACAGGATAACATATCTGTTCTTTCTAAATAGTGATCGTGATTTGAGGATGAAATCAAACTCACCATCCGGCAGGATAAGTCACAATAATCGTAATAAGGATATGCAATTAATTAGATATCATATAATATAATATAATATAATATATAGTATAATAAATATTGCCTCATACAACACATTTCGCTGAGATGACAACGGAACATTTGCGTATATTACCCTTTCCACATGTCAATCTCACATTCTAGCAAATGAAAAATTTTACGTTTGTCGATGATAGAAATACAAAAAAATCATCCAGTTTCGTTATAAAAAATGAAGAGGTTATGCTGATGATAAGATTTTATCACAGATGCAGATGTGAAAATGATGGAATGGTTACCTGGTACGGAACATGGCGAGGAGTCGAGACACCGGCATTGAGAGAGGGTGGGAAATGTTGTAAGACAGGAGCGCTATTAACACTATAAAGTGAACGCTCCATATTGTATCGGTTGTCCACTATCAGTAAACGACACAAGTTGAACGAGTGATAAACAGAAACGGTCCGATGATGAGCTCCAAATGAAAGTCCTCCTTTTCAGTGACTTAGAGACAGTGCCGACGAAGAGATAGTACGGATAGCTCGCTGATTGCGGAGATCTGTTCGTAAGTAGCGTTGTTAATACAAACGCGATCGTTGCTCGCTGCTGACAGGGCCGCGGATATGGCGTGTATTTGTTGATCAGTTCAAGAGAGAAGTATCACAGGAAAGTAGATACCCCGTAGAGTCGCTCATGGGTGTCACGTGACTTATCAGAAACACATGTGATGTCAGCCCATCGTTAAATAATTGACACCCACATTTAGTAAGAGTATACTGACAGGATTGTAACGGAGACAGGGTTAAAACTTTTGACAGTGTCCGCGGACTTATTTCCGTCCCCATGGGAGTGCGTGGCGGATCAGTACGTGATCGGGGCCATTTTGGACAGTATCCGCGCTCGCTTGAATACTTCCGATTATTTAGCAGTATTTATTGGTGTTTTCGAAAAAAGATGTTTACTGCCAGTTCACTACACGAATCGAAGCGATCAATCTGTCAATTACGGCCGGTTCGTTTTACAACCTTCCCACAGTCGAAACGTGACATCTGAGTGGTGTTTCGGCTGCCTCGCCATATGCCGGTCCAGCGCAGGGCACTTGAGTAAACAAGTTTAGGCATGTACGTTGTCCAAGCAACTTTGATACATGGTGTACAGTTGTTCATCTTTAACAGACGTCCACATGGTCATCTGCGTGAGAAGATCGCTCGTTACCGTGGTTACAGAGCAGCCATAAATTTTAACAGTGTGAAATTCTTAAAAACATTAAACATGTGCACTTGGGCACATTTTTACGACCTGGCCGGAAGTGATCTTCAACTTCCAACCCGTGTCTGCATCTTTTCCGATAACGGGACAACCATATAAATAGTTTCAGAGAATATTAAAATAGTTATCTCGTTTAAAACGGAGTCGGTACAGATGGGGAATTTATGTGATGACTTTAGTTAGTGACACTATAAACACAGGGATAATCCCACTATGAAATGTGATCATATTAATTTTATTATTATTGACTCTATAGTGTTGTTATTTAGTTGAACTATTTGACATGCTCAGTGTCTGGTAACCCCAATGTGCATCACGGAATGATAGTTAAATGTGTCGGCGGTCCGATGATATCGTGGTCAGTACGATATTGCATATCTTTAGTTTTTTTTCCATATAAAAATAAAATATATTAATATCTGTGCTGTATGCAGTGAAATTAAATACGGTGGAATGGTCGCGAAAAATGATTGATATGTGGCCCGATTTTTGAAAATTTGCTATATTTTGTACGTAGAAAACAGGCATACGAGCACGTCTAACAATGTAACTGTGAAGTACAGAGGCCAGAGTCGGCGATTTTGGCATAGTTTAATAAGCACATTCAGATTCAATGATTTATGATATTAGCAACGATTCCCGAAAATATGAAATTATGGAACAAGCTGAATAATTGCATCACTAGGAACACCTCCCAGCTGATATATTCGAAAAAAAGTTTGGTTGTGACTTCTTGTATCTGTCGCCAATTGTGTATCTGCATGCTTGTTTTGAAGTAGTACGAACCCAGTTGATCGGTATATCGTGTTTCAAATGGATGTAAAATAATACAGCCAATTATACGTTATATTAGGAGACATATAACATAGTTACTTTTATCACCACGGGTTCCATACTATGACACCTCCAACTCTTTATTTATTTATTTGTATAGTGCATTTTAAACAGAAATGAAAACATATTTTACCTTGTATTTTGGAAATTTACACCGTTCTCGATTTGTTCTCGCCACACACACACACACGCACTTACCTACCCACCCAAAAGTGATCTTAAGGGCAATCCTAGCGGAGCAGATCACCAACACACACACACACCCTGGTTACCCTGAGCGCAAATGTTTTTTTCAATGATATGGCCAAGTGTGGAGTAGACAGAGAGCAGATTATAGCACATCTTGCACTTGGCAATGCGAAGAATGGGATAAGTTCAAAATTACTTAAAGTGACTTAAAATGACCCAAGACATGTGCATTTGAGGTTGCTTTAGTGTTAGCTATACAGTCAAGTAACCTGAGCCATGCGCCAAATTCAAATAAGAAGTTGTCTGGTCTGATTCCTGAATTTCTAAATCGAACTTCATCACATCTCACTCGTGTCTAAAATTCAACCACGCCGTACTGTATTTCCCTGCGCACGTGTGCTAATTTGACTGATACCTTGAAGCAATATGCGCATGCGTATCGGAGACGGTTTTGATCTATGTTGTATTTCGTTCAGGAAATACAAATACAAAAAAAAAACATGTTTTTGTTAAATTGTGAGGAAGTCTGTACCTGGAATTATAGTTGTTTTCATTAAAAATGCGTGGGAATCTTTCTAGCAGTTTATTTCGTGTGATGTATTGCTTAACTTATGGCGCATTATATTTCAACCCATCTTGTATTAGCCCTGTGATTTATATTATTCAATGTTATGGTTTCATGACTCATGGAACGGATTTGCGGGATATAGTTGTCATGTGAACGTGTCATCGACTGAAAATATAAAGTGACTTGCGATGATTTGTCATGACCCAACTCGACAGTACAAACACATTCAGGTTGCGTCCTGTGGTGAGTTTCACCAATGAAACCATACGATATCGAGATTTACAACTTTCTATTATAATACCGCCTTTTCAGATTTGTTGGGCGAACACTAGCTTGAATTTGAAAAAAAATATAAGAATAATTAATGATGTAATTTTATAAGGATTTCAATTTTTATTCTTATACTAATCGTATATCATATATATGCCATCTATATATATATGGTAATCTACGCGCATTAGCAAATTAACATGATGATGAAAACACAGGTACGTACACCGATTTTAAACATCTCTGTTGAATCCAGGTCCTACAGTGTGGTGCTACAAAGAACGACATTGCAGGTTACTTAGCAGTTGGCAACAGACCAAGTTCACACACAAACTGCATTTAGATCTGCCGTTATAATTGCAACTGAATTTCTTTTTATGGTAACAGGTCACATATACCCCCCTAAACAACATCAACCAAAATCTGAGTTGTCGTGTTATCTACTAATCTACTAACTATGTGCGGGATTGAACCAATAATATCTCTCCATTATTTTAAGAAAAAACAATAACAGAATCTGTGTATATGAAAAATACATATATTACCATGGGAACGTTGCAAAAAATCATATTGTGATTTTCACTGTGTTTTGTATTCAAGTTAACTTATAAAAATTTCTGTATTTTCGGCCTTTTCTGTCAATTTATTTTGGATTTTTTGTTTGGATTTTTGAAATTTGAAATAATTCGATTTGAAAATTGTACTAAATCGTTACATTGAAGTATTTTTTAAATAATGTTTTGGACGATTAAAATTCAAAGGTCTGACTTTATAAACAAACTAATTTGTTACACTTTATTTTTAAGTGTAAGTCTTGTTAATGGCACGAGTTAATACGTCCAAAAAACTCTGACCATAAGCGTAAATGTTAGACTGAAAACCTCACGTCTATGACGTCACGTGCGATCAACCACTTATGCCACGGCAATACTACGAGCACGCATAAGTGCTTACACTGCTTTGCCACATTGTTGTATCCCAGACTACTACGTACATGTATATCTATAGTAGTCTGAGGTTGTAATCAGTGAAACGGTAAATTTTCATAAACACACACTATCGTACTTAAAGGGGCACCTTCCAGTTAAGCTTAATTTCACAACAAATTTACTTTCTGGATTAAAATAACAATGGATAACAAAAGATAGATTAACATTGTAAACAACATAAACAATAGTGTCCCATGATTCTTTGGTGCAATCCATGGGATTGAGCGGTTCCCCTTTAACACGTGACGACGATAGTATGATTTCTGAAACTAATCTTGTATAGCATTCCCATCCAAGTACACAGTAGGTGTTAGATGTACTTGACGTAAGTAGGCCATGGTTCGAACGCAACTTGGCCAACGTTTTCAATTAGGCTAGCGTATTATTTCCAGAATCTGACCAAAAGTGTGCCGTTATATCCGACAACCTACACTTTGTCGTGTTGGTTCCA